AACAGCTGCTGCACTCTAATGGCTGATAGTATACGAGTAGCTCAGCCAATCAGATTGCAGCATTTGCATTAGTATACTGGTAGAATTCTACTAATGATTTTTAGAATTGGAAGTAAATATGCTAATATTCCTGTCACAGTAAGAAAGGTAATATCTAGAAAGTTATTACTTATTTAATAATGTGGTATGGAAGCAAAGCAAGAGATTTGTAAAATTAATCATTCACAATCATTAAATTAATCATGTACAACTTGTTTCCTTCAAAGATATCAATGAAATATATTTCAACGCAAATTTTATCTCACAGGAGTCCCTCTCAGCAGATATATCAACGCCCACACCCACACCAGTCAGTCCTGTGGTTGTCAGGACTCCCAAGACTGCGAGCGAATGGCTAAAACAAGTTCAACAGAAATCACCTCAGAAGAGTGAGCAAGAGCTATCTCCTGAAGGAAAGGGTGTCAGCATGAACTGTGATTCTGCCAAAAAGAAAAGAAAGTTCCTCAGGTAACATGAAAGGATCTCCATCTGACTATTGTGATATGATTGGTAGAAACCGCTATGGTGTAAGCTATGGTGTAAGCTCTACTGAGGGCTCACTACAAATGATCCCAAGCAGGTCTAGATAGAAAAAGATATTAATAATTAAACATAGATATTCAAAAACCTCTTTATTACTTTTTTCTTCAAGTTTATTGCATACTTAATTGCTGTGTTTTGTTGGCTTTTATGGATAACTCAGATCCATAGAGAAGCCTTGGTTTTAGTCTGTATCAATGCATGGCACTGCAGTATCACCCATCATTCCTTGTTTGTACAATTAAAGTACTTCAGATCTTAGTAATTAAGCACTAGTATAGATTACAAGTTATTTGTTATCTTGTTGTGTGTATTGTTGTGTCTCAGGTCTGGCCTAGCAGAACAACTGCAGCATGTCATTTCAAGAGATAAGTCAGAAAAGGCATTTTGGAATCACAGATTAACAGACACAGAAACGAAGCAGGCAGGTAAGTACACTGATCAGTCTATGTTACTCTGTACTTAATCATGTGGTGGCTTTAGTGGCGCACTTGTCACTTTCCAGAGTATGGTTCAGAGAGTGTACTGTAAGAAAGTTAAAGTCTCTAAGGACAAGACAACAAATTACAGGTACTAAAGGACAAATGCGTTAAGTTTAACATAGAGATTGACATTGCAGAAATTTCCTTTTCCTCTCAAATAGTCTGCCCTTACTTTCCCGTGCATACAATTAGTCTGCGGTATGTTTTACATTCATTGGTTAATGTTGTATGTTTCGGCATGTTTCATCTCAGGTGTTCTCTGTTAAATCAAGATCTCAAATCAGTGGCCAAATCATCAAATAAGGATGCTAATGAAGAAATGAGGTGACTATAGTATTATTATTGGGAAAGAAATGCAAGTTCTTCCAGAATAAAAATAAGGAAAAGTTGCCCAACTATTATTGAGTGTTATTCACCCTCGATCTAGCCAATCAGAATGCGCGGATAGTACCATTCACCTGTGTGGTATACACTAATGTAATTTATTCAAGGGTATATCATAAGTCTAACCATATCTTGCCCTTCTCCTTCCTTCTCACTGTAATTTTTGCAAGCTGTTGTGGTTCAGTATGAAGCGGAAGAATTATATAAATATACAAACTGAATTAATAAAGAAATTAAGTGTAAATTCAGGGAGAAACGTATACTCGGAGAAAATCCGAGTCCCGGATGGGATTTGAACCCACGACCCTTCGTGATCTAGAGAAATTGATTAATGAATTAATACATAAAGAAATGAGTAAATAAACAAACAAATAAAGACAAACAATAAATTAATACATAGAAATAAGTGCCCAAATCTTGTTTCATGATTGGTGTGTTGTTCGCTGCCTTATTAGGTGGGCGCTCCTGGTTCAGGATATCCATGGCATGTGTGCTGAAATTCAGGTTCCTCAAACGTTTCAAGACTCATTTGACTGGTCAGTTTTAACACTGAGTGTTCTGTTTCTTGGCTAGCGATCATATGGAAACCAACCATAACTCCGGGGGAGGGGGGAGGTCGGTACTCCCATATATGAGCTACATAGGTATGTGCCACGGGATAGGGTACGATTTTTGTGGTTCTCTTTCCCTAAGGACGTTCGCGCTAATTGTTTCTGCGCATCCTTGCTGCGCGCGCAAATTCACTCGCCACGTCATGCATGAGAGCGCGCTTAGTAATAAAAGGAACAATGCTTATTTTGTACCATATGGTAGCGATTTTCGGCGTTGGTTCTCAAGGCGTGAGGATGTAGCCGATTTTCTTGCCTTAGTAAATAGGTTGCGAAAAAAATGTATTTGAGAACCAAGATTTCGCAGTTGTTTCCCTGTGTTTTCCTTAGTGTTTCCCTAGTGTTCCCTGACGACCTTGGAAAGAGTAAATTCGTCGGTATCGTTGCACTTACTGGTAATAAATTTGTTGATAATAGTGTCAATCAACTTTGAATGATAACAAAGGTTTGAGAACGTCATTCGTCAATAAAGAGTTTCCTGCTCTGTTTAGCCTAGTTTTAATAAAGTAATAATGATATAATAACAATGATTTTTTTGTAATATTTATCATCGTGACTATCAAAATGGCGATAAATATTGGGGTACGAATTAGCTGGGCGTGTGAAAAATGTGACAGTTATTGTAAAATGAATATTTGACGGGTTTGTAATAATTGTTCTCTGTCAGCATTATTAGGATTCCCTGTAGCTGTGTT